TGACTTAACTAAGAAAAAGAACACAGAAAAATACTCACGCGGTTTATATGGCAGATTGGCTCTGTTACATCACCCAGGCAACTGCCCGGGTCTGCAAGGGCATGAACCTCATTTGCTTTGTGATTGCTCACAGCAGGATGCCGTAGTCCTCCCAGGAGTAGAAGAGGCAGGCTTGTGAGGAACATTCCAAGCTCATTTACCATCCCTTTGACATGCCAACAAATGGGATCCATACTGTGAAAGACTCCAGAGAAGTGTGTACCCACTTGGTACACACATGGCTTCAGGGAGAGAAAATTCTCCTGTTTCACTCTGGTAATAGAGGGGGCCTTTCAGTGACTCATGAACCTACATCTTTTGTCTTTTATCACCGGAAGTCCCGGGCCTTCCTACAACACTAACAAAACAGGGATGTAACATTAAACTGGTCTTGGTTTCATTTGTTTTCTATAAAAGCAGTGAACATGCTACAATGTGAGACCCCAAATTATCTGTACTACAATTCTAATCCTTCAAATACATAATAAAGTCCTAAACTAAAAACATCTATGCCATAGCTATAAGCCCCCAGCCCCAAAACAGCCATGCTACAGTCCAGATTGCTAAAACATCCATGGTACAACTCTAACCTAGAAAACATCCTCTGATAGTCATACTACAATTATAATCTCCAAAACATCAGTGCTACAATGCTAATCCCCAAAGTGATAGTATCAGGAACCTGGACTTGGGAGAAATTGAGTCGTGAAAGCACAGCCTATGACACTAGGAGTGATGGGCTTAGGGAAAGACATAGGCAGTCTGGGGCTAGAGGTGTAGGTCAGTTGGTAGAGTGCTTGTCTAGCATGCCCAGGCCCTCTACATTTGAGTTCTAACAGCTGGGTGCCACACACTGCAGTCCCAGAAGATGGAAGGTAGAGGCAGGGAGATCAGGGATCCGAAGTCACCCCCAGATGCATAAGGAGCTGGAAGACAGCCTTCACCACATGAGACCCTGAGACCACAAAGAAAAGAGTTAACTGGAAGGTTTGGAGCTGATTAAGTACAAGCAGAAAGGCATTCAATTTGCATTCTAAATTTTAAAGCTAAGACATGGAGCAAGACATGGTGGTCCAAGCTTGTAACCTCTGGCTGTGGAGAGCAGAAAAATCTTGAGTTCAAGGTCAGCCTGAACTACATCCAAAAAGATGCCTCTTGGAAAAAAGAAAAGAAAAGAAAAGAAAAGAAAAGAAAAGAAAAGAAAAGAAAAGAAAAGAAAAGAGAAATCTTTGATGTATCATATTTGAATCCTGAAGAAAGGAACTCTCCGGTTGGGAGTGTACATATGACGGTACAGTTAGCAAGGAGGGTGCTGTAGATTTTTGTATTCAAATTGAGTCTTAAAAATAGCGCAAACATCTCATTGAAAGAAACATACAGAAAAAACAAGGTGTCTGACAGTTTTGTTTTGTTTTGTTATGTATGTGTGTTTTGTTTTGTTTTGCTGGGATGTAGCCAATTAAAAAAAAAAAAACAACTGGTTGCAAGTTTCATCTTCAACATTAGAGGGTGCTATGTGGACAGTCCCAGGCTGTGATCATCAGGGAGGAGGATGCTGCAGCTGTTACTTCCAAAACACATTGTTTTAGAGCTAAAGAACTGTTTATCAACATTAGAATCTGAACCAGAGAAAGGTCCTACCATCACCCTGATGGAGAAGGCCTTGTCATTCACGTGTGTCTGAGATATGCGGTCCTTGACATGACCAAGCCTGTCTTATGAATGATCATTCATGTATGGGTATGCTCACTCCCCAAAACATTTCATCTGGACTTCTATCATTTTTAAGCACAGTTCTGACAAGTAGAAGCCACACCCAATACACACAATAGAAACTTAACCTTGCAGTGTGGAAGCCAGTTAATAGCTCCGGTCCCTAATTCTTCTTATTCTTACTGGTTGACCACAACAGAGGTCAGTGATATCCTTTGTCCTGCTTTAGCAGGCAGGAAAATAAAATCTGGATGGTTAAGGCAAGTATCAACACATACTGAGTCAAATCAAGACCTTTAATATAAATATTTGGAACTTGAAAGGAACAAAAATCAATCCTGAGGCAAACTTCTCATGTTCATAAAGGTAATGTAGAACAAAGGTGAAGGCAAGAAATAGGAGAAGGAAGGTGGGAAGGAGGAGGAGGGCGAAAGGTGGAGAAGGAAGGGGGCGGGGAAAGAACAGCCTAGTGCCGTGTTACACATCTTTAATCCCAGTGCTAAGGAAACACAGACAGGAAGATCTGTGTAGGTTCAAGGCCAGCCTCAACTACCTAGTGTGTCTCAGCCAGCCCTGCCCCCACACTCAAAAACTTTAGAGGCAAAGGGGAGGAAGGAGAGAGGACAGGAGGAAGAGGTGAATTATCATTTGCATTTTTTAAAGCACTGAATTAAAATCTATCTCCATTTTAATGGACTAACATAATCACTGGGGATAACCAAATTGTTTCATGGTCTGGGGAGAGAGCTCAGTAGGTAAATGTCTGTCATGCAAGCATGAGGACCCTAGAACTTACGTGAAAATGTAAGGCCTAGTGATCTGTTTGTAATCCCAGCACTGGGAAGGGTGAGGTGAATGAATTTCCAAGGTTTGCTGGCAATCAACTAGTCTACTTGGCCATCTCCAGGCCAGTGAGAGCTCTTGTCTCAAAACTAAGATTGACAATGTGTCCTGGATAGTTTTATGTCAACTTGACACAGCTAGAGGCATTTAGGAAGGAAGGTTCAATCAAAAAAGTGCCTCCGTAAGATTGTCTTATAGGTAAGTCTGTAATGCATTTTCTTAATTACTGATCAGTGTGGGCCCAGCTCACTGTGGGTGGTACCACATTTGGGCAGGTTGTTCCGGGATGCTATAAGAAAGCACGGTAAGCAAACCATGAGGAACAAGCTGGTTACCAGTGTTCCTCCACGGCCTCTGCTTCAGTTTCTGCCTCCAGGTTCCTGCCATGCTTGAGTTTCTCCATGACCTCCCTCAATGATAGATGGTTTCCTAGAAGTATAGCAAAGTAAACCCTTTCTCCTTCAGGTTACTTTTGGTTTTATCACAGCAATAAAAAAATCCTAATTAAGACATAATACCTGAGGAATAGAATCCAAGATTGACCTCCAGCCTACACACACACACACACACACACACACACACACACACACACACACACACAAGCTCACATGTTCCAGATAAGTGTAGAATATCCAGATTCAACATGCTAACATCTTTTCCTTTGCTATTTATTTATTTGTTTGTTTGTTTAATTATTTATTTATTTATTTATTTTTACTCAGTCCAGCAGCACAACCAATCTTAACCCTCTTCTCTCAAGGCATGCCTTAAGTGTCAAGAAAGTCATTAATTCACACCTAACTAATAAGTGACATTTATGTTGTGGAATGTATGCATCTATTCAGCTCCTCAGGTCCTCCAAATCAGTTCACGAGGTCAACTCAATCACTTCAAGAACAGAACGCCAAAGTTAACAGAAAAAGCATGCCCACAAGTGAAAAAGTACTAATATAAATGCTTATGTTTATGCATCCTGCTGGGAATGGTGACACACACCCTTAAAAACAGCTGTTGGGGTCAGAGGAAGGCAGATCTCTGTGAGTGTGACCTACACAGTAAACTCCAGGCCAGCCAAGGCTACACAGTGAGACCCTGTCTAAAAATTAGTTTATGAATTCCATCAAAAATAGTTGTTGATATATTTAAAACAAGTAAGTTCCCTACATACACGCACATACTGGCAACACTAATGGGATGCAATAAAATATTAAAAAAAAAAAACACAGAAAAAAAGACACGATATTGAAAGGGAGACATGTTGGGGTCTCAGGGGGAACTGGAGGTTGGTGGATAGGGTTGCAGAACACTGTATACATGAATGAGGTTCTCGAAGGAGAGGTGGAGGAAAGGGCAGAGAGAAAGGAAAGTCTTGTTTGACAGGTACAGAACCTTCCTACATTACAAATACTGACTTGAGACACCAACGTGGGACATGAGAGCACTGAAGAAACCCAGAGGGACCGCTATGATAAGCAAGTATGTGGTGGAGAGATGGGAGAAAAAGAGACCGGAACAGTGTGTCCACTAGGAAGAGAGGTGGAACTGGAGACGCGAGGCCGGAGAGAAATACCCTGCCCTGCCACCTGAGGCCGTGGTGAGATCCTGGCCCACGCTGCTACTTGAGGGCCATGTCTGTGACCATGGCGCTGCAGCAAAAGGGGCTCTGTGTCGATGTCCATGGCGCAGGTTACCACCAAAGGCTATGCAGATATCCCCCGTCAGGGCTGCCTCCTGGATCCATCTTGATGTCTCAGGCCTGTGCAGAGTTGACCCTCCCCGTGACTGCGTGACTGGCTTCAGCATTCCCGAGAACAGGCTCCTCCCCTTGCCTGGGCGGCATGGGCATGCTGGCCCCACCGTTCGTTCGTTGGCTGTGCGGTGGTTTGGGTGTGAGAGAGATGCCCTCACTGCCTGTGGAAGTAAGGAGAGTGGACGCAACCCCTTGCCTGCCTCCAGCACTGGGAGTGGGGAAGGGAACAGGCCCTGCGCCTCACCTGGGAGGAACAGTAGAGCTGGCCCTGGTGACAAGGGCATGGGAGAGCGGGCCCCGCCCCTAGCCTGAGCAGTGCTGGAGAGCTGGCCCTGGTGGCATGGTTGTGAAAGAGCTGACTTCAATGGTGTGAGCTTGAGAGAGCCAGTCCCTCCTCTTGTCGGCTGCCGCTAGCAGGAGAGCTGTCCCGACCCTCACCTGGGCAGAGTGGGAGAGCCGGCCCTGGTGGTGCAGGTGAAGGAGAGCTGACAGGCTGAACAACACAGCCACCACCCAGGCTAGATCCAAGGCCTTGAATTGGCGCCTCCCAACATGCACGCACCCCATCTATTAACTGCTGGAGTCCACGAAGAGGCTGGTCCTGAAGAAGCAAAGCCGCAGGATCTCCACAGGGAGACAACAGGATATCTGAGAGGAGCCCTAGTGAGGATCCAGGATTGAGAGTGTGTCAGAAGCCAGAGGCCTTGAGCCACATCCAGTGAACATTTGCAAGTAAAGCTGTTTGGACCAAAGGGTACCGTGGGACACTCCGCAGCTTCCACAGAGAGATTTTGTTGTGAATTGCTTTTATGTTATTTTTTTTTTCTTTTTTGTTGTTTTTATTTCTATTTTTTTTTTGTTTGTTTTCTTTTTGGGGGAGAGGTGCAAGGGCAGAGAACAGATATGGGGGGACGGAGAGATGAGTGGGACTGGGGTGCATGATGTGCAATTCACAAAGATTCAATAAAGAGTTAAAACAAAGCAAAAAAAAATACCCACCCACTTGGCCGTTTACTATTTTATCTGGAAACACTTAGCCCCTCGTGTATAGGTGCACCCTGACTTTGTCTATATCCTCTCTAGAGAGCGCATTTATCACATTTTTTTTCCTCTTCCATTATCTCTGGTGCTGTATGGTTTCACAGCTTTGGCTGCATGTTCCTTGGTTGCTGGTCTACTATGCATGGAAACTGTAAAGGGCACCAGAAGACAGCACATTTAAGAAGAAAGGTGAGGAGTGTCTTCAGCATGGCAATCCAGCACTGGGCACTGGGCATGTGTACATAACAGAAAATACAAACATTTCTCTCGGAGAATAGGAAGCAACCTAACAGAAGGCCTGTCACTAGGAGCAGGTAGCAACCAGGACAAAACCAGATGATACTGGGTTTCTGACCCATGTCCATGACCCAATTTGTCCATGACCCAATTTGTCGTGGAGAACAAGAGGTACAATAAGAGTTTAACTAGACCAAGGAGGCGAAAGCATTTGCCTGTGTCCTCCCTAGGACATAGGTGCTGAGTAGAGATGACACAGCATTTGCGCTCAAGGCTTAGATTCTGAAGTTCCAGGGGAGTGCCCGCTGCCACTGAGCCATGTCTCCGTGACAAGCTACAGTTTAATGCGTGCGGTTGCATAAAGCTGCCCCTGAATCATCTGAGCACGGCTGGACTTTGTGAGCTTTAGATAGAGGGTCCTTCCTCCGTCAGGACCTGGCCTGGCCTGCCCCCCTAGCCTAGTGATGACAGGCTTCTGTGGTTGCCTTAACGGTGGACTGGCATCCTCTGAGATGTTGGTCAGAAGCAGAGACAGCATCCTGATGAGTTGTCATTTGGATTGTTATTAAGGACACCTGCTCACAAATTTATGGAACGCATTCCTTGGCTATTCAAATAAAGGTGGGAACATGTGTGTTCCATTTGCTCTGAAGATTCTCCTACAACACAAAGAAAAAAATGTGTAATCTCTTTAGAAGGGAGTATAACAATTTAAATCAAGGAACTATTTCCATATATACTCAAGTGTTTAAAAACTAATTGTAGAGATGAGGCAAAGATGGATAGTTTTTTTTTCAATATAGAAGCATCTTGGTTCTACTTGTTTATGAAGTCAAACCAAGTAGAATGGTAAGCTCTAATTTAACATGGTTAAAATACAGGAAGATTTTACAGTAAAGTTAAAAATTAAGTTGTGAAACAAGCCACATAGTCCAATGTGGTTAATTAAGAGTTAGAAATACTTGAATTCTAAAGTTGTTGATTATTTATCCCCAAGTACAGAGTCCTTTAAAAATTATTCAGGGAAAAATATTTTACACAGGAGCCAAAACTTATAAGACTCCCTAATGAATGTAAACCTTTCTGTCCTTAAATTTCAGATGTGCATGTGGAATGTGTCTGCACTTCTTCTTCTTATAGAGTGTAACTTCACTAAAATAACTGTGGAAATTGTATCCAATACATGTTCAAAAAAAAAACAACTCTCTCATTCCTCAAGACTCAGACCTCCTGAATTATTGCTCTCAATGGCAGAACCTGCAGCTCCAAATCCTCTTACAGTACTTATAATCAAACACAAAATCAAAAGGAGAGAGATCTATCCAGATCATAAGGTAGGACAGGGCTTAACGTCACAGTGGAGATGAACTACCAGGGATGATCAGGGCACACAGAACCAAGATTATTTTCTATAAATTAGCCTGATAGCAGTACATCGCTGCTCCATCTGAATCATGAGCCTTAGGGGCCTCTGGAGAGTTGGACATTATCCACCTACAGGGAAAAGTGGGTTTGAAGCATTGTATCACCTACCTATGAGATAAGGACACACTGACTCTTCACCAGCTTGGAAAGCAGGGAGGATGTTTTCTACTTCCAAGGTATTGGCAGGAGCCCACCAGAGAAACAAGCGAGCTTGGCCTCTGATGTGCTGGTGTGGATGCTCCAAACTCATTCCCTTTATTAAAAATCAGTGTGGAGGCTTCTCAGAAAGCTGGCATGTGTGAGGGTCAGTGTTCTTCAGGGAGTCAGACTCTAAGACACTATCCAAGCGCCAGCAGATGGATCTACATCCATGCACATATAGTCCACCAAGTGGACTCAGTAGATTAAAAAAAAAAAAAAAAGTACGTGAACTTGAGAGGGGAAAGTGACAGTGGGGGATCGGGAATAAACGGGAGAGAGAAAATGAGGGAGAGCTGATAAAAATGCATTATGTGTATGTATAAAGTGTTTAAGCGGTTTTTAAGTGAGCTAGAGAATTTCCCATTGTACATGATGACATGTATGCGAATTGAGAAGTAAGTCCAAGCATTATTTTTATGTAGTTTGTCAACAAATATAGGAGTGGTTAAAGTGGGAAAGAAAAAAAGAAAAAGAAAAGCAGGCAGAACCATGCTGAATTTCTGAGAGAGGCTTGTGGATTTTGTCTGATTTAGTTAATAAAGAACTACAAAGACCAAGAAAATGTGAAACAAAATAGTGAATGAAATATGAAACAAAATAGTTCAAGTTTGTCTGGAAAATTATGGCTCACATAGTTCAAAGAAGAAGTAAATTAGAGAAGGGGCAAAAACAAGAAAGAGGGAGAAAGTAAAAAATGTATTTAATTGTAATTTATCTCTCTCTTTTAACTTTTTAAGGTTTTAAAACAGAACAAAAGTTGTTAGAAACACTGAAAAACATTGTGACCAACTGTACGCAGGTGTCAGGCCCAGGAGATGTCTCTGGGTTCAGGGGAGACAGCTGACAAAGAGGGAGGCTATGGAATACACAGTTGCAGGAGGAGCTCTGGCCTCTCATTAATGATTAATAATTCAAGCTCTGGAGTGGCGCAGAATACTGAGTGTCCTGGCAAGAGCTAAGAGAAGCCTGCTCAGAGAAAACACAGGAAGCCCTCCCTCAGGCACTAAGTTGGTAAGTCACCTTCATTGCATGGTCCAAGGTCTGCACTGTCCCTTCCTGAATACCAGCTGATGGTTTCTGTATACCCCTCTTCAAACCTTAAATGCTGTCCTGTGGACAAAATAAAAAGAATGCAAAAACCTATATCCACAAAGGCAGTGGGGGAGGAGGAGTGAAGAAGATGGAACAATGGAGTAGGGAGGGAAAGGTGAGGAAGGGAAGGGAGAGAAGAGAAAGAGGAGGGAGAGAAGAGGAAAGGGGGAAGAAGAGGAGACAGGAAAGAGGAGAAAGGGAGAGAGGAGAAAGGGAGGGAGGAAGGTACAAGAGGGAGAGGAAAGGGAGGAGCATAAAGAGACAGAAGAAAAAGGAGGGGGAGGAGAAGAAAGAGAGGGAGAGAAGATTGGAAGCTGACAACTTTGTGGCGGATCACCATGAACTTTGATGCTAGCTGGTGGAGACAATAGCAGCGGTGGAAGACAGACCCAAGAAACAGATACTATAAAGAAGTGTTTTTAAAATTTCTATACAGTCACGTGAAATCATTTGTGTAGAAGTGAATTGTTCCGAGAAGCAAAGGAGGCCCACCGTGCCTACCAGAACTTTTTTAATTAAAAAAAAAAAATTGAATGAATGGATGGGAGGAAGGAAGGAAAGAATGGTAAGGGGATAGTCGAAGAGGTTAATGAACAAACATCAGTTCTTTTGTAAACTTAGTGGCCTAGAAGAAGAGAGTAAGTTCTCTGAGGTCAGTTACCCTGCCTGGGTCCTGAGTTTACAACAAGGACTGCGGTTCCTCTTGTTAGCATGACAGGTGCTGTGGACACAAAGGAGGGCACAAGCACTTATGAAAACCACTGTAGAATAAATAGTATTAGCAATCATTTCTTTGCCTTTTACAATATCAGTGCAAAAAGCACATAGCTCTTATCCAACAGGGGTACGAGATTATGCTGGAGCCATATTTGAGTGACCAAGGTCTGGGAACACAGATTTAGTTTATTCCAAAATTCCATGTCCCAACATGAAAGCAGTTTCCTGAATTTTATAGTTTTATAGAACAAAGAAAGTCTTAACTCAAAGCAAGTTTAAAGTACATTGGAGGGTACACAGAGAAGCAGGTACAAGTTGGGAAAGGTTTTTCTGTAGGCCTCAGCTGCTATCTGATGAAAATTCTTCAATTTGGAGCTGTACTAGCTGTAATAGCAAGTAGTCTTCTAAGTCAATAGACTTCAAAAGGTTTTTATTTATTAGTCATGGAATGTTAAGTCTGACACAGATCGGGGCAAGGACTGGCTGCTGAGGACTGGCTGAATCTATCCTATTAAAACAGCTGGCCTCCAGACCTGTAATGCTCCAACCATCCCACACCATTGTAGCTCTAAGCAGTCAACCAGTCTGTGTGGACACAGGTGCTTTCCAGGAATTCCCACTGACAACATGAAGATGTATGCCCTGTCCCTGGATTATTGATCTTTTTCTTAGCTTCAGCAATGTGACCACCACAGCGCTCTGAAGGAGTGAGGCCTTTTGCAATCAACTTCTCTGCCTTACATTCCCATTCGGATCGGCTAGGGGACAAAATGATAGCACACGCAGGGGTAGGAATGGTCATTATGAAAGAATATTGGATTAAGAAAGCCAATGAAATAATACGGACTTTAACCAAATTATAATGTCTGACTGGGGGCCGGAGAAATGGCTCAGTTGTAGAGTGCTGCATTACAGTATAGATCTTTGTTAGATTTTCCAGCACCATGTGGAAGGATGGGTGCTGTAGCTCATGGAGGCATACAGATCTGGGATTTCCCTGCCCAGCCAGTCTCCTGCATCCTTGAACTCCAGTTCCGTGAGAGTTCCTGTCACAAAAGTAAGGTGGAATGTCACTGAGGGAGATACCCAACTTTGCCCTCGAATTCATGAGCACACACACCCATCCTCATAAACATGCACAGCCGCATGCACATCCGTGCAGCAAAGGACTGGAGTGTAGTGCGAGGTAGAATGCTTCCATAACATATGTGAGGGACTGGGCCTGGCCCGCACCATCAGCAAAAATAAAATGAACAAATGGCTTAGGATAGAAGAAGGGAGGGAGATGGAGACAGTTGTAACAGTGGACAGGGTCATCAATAGATGCCCTGTGGCCTGAGGGCAGTGGGAAGCGCTATCCAGTCCCAAAAACTGGAATTAAGCCTCATAAGATGACATATTGCAAAAGACCACAGCACTAGGTGTAGCTATTACTCAGTGGAGAATACATTCACGAAAATAGGGTGTATCGATCCAGCTTGGGGCAACCAAGCTATATCACCACTAGGTGCATGTAGGTGGCCTTACTCTTGTCTCTTAGGAAAATATTTTCCTGTTTTTTAATGGAGAAGCAAAGCACTTTCTCTAGAAATTAAAAGGCAATTTTTAAACCTTTTGCCACAACTCTGTGTGTGTGTGTTTGTGTGTGTGTGTTTGTGTGTGTGTGTGTGTGTGTGTGTGTGTGTGTGTGTGTGTGCATGTGTGCATACGCGCACGCACACACACACTTTGGGAAGTATGCTTGAGCCACAGCATGCATACAGAATCAACTCCTGAGCTGCACCAATATGGGATTTGAAGTATGTCACCTGTTGATGCAAACTTGCTCCCCAGTTATCCATGACACCCGTGAGGGGTTATATGGAGTAGCAGCATGAGAGTCCTCCAGGGCAGTGGACTAGAAGAAGCCAGTGTATCAGATACAGGTGTAAGACTCCAGGAGAACTCAGCCCTGAGGTGACCAGGATCTGAGCTTGCTATAGTTACATCTTCTAATACACTCTCTACCTAGGTCTGTGTTTGGGACAAGCAGTCTATATCAAAGCTACAGAAACTTTTTTTTTAGAACTTTGCTGTTAAGAGTATACAGAGAAATGGGCATTCAGATTTGCTCGTGAGTCACTGTGGCAAAGCACTGAGGAGTAGCTCCTAAGCCAGCTTTCTTTAGGCTTTTTACAGGGACTGCTAAATCCTGTGATAAGAATTTTCAGGCTTTAGCTGCAGGATGCCTATTGTGTTGAAGTGGGAGCTAGTGACCAGCTCCACCTACTCTAAACCCCTTTTAGATGGAATGGGCGTGGCTTTGACTGCTTGGTACCCACTCTTCAAAGGTACCAAAGGTATTTCCTTTTAATTCAAACCTAATGGTTAGTTATACATTGCCCTGTTAGATCACAGACTACCCCTCTCAGAAGTCAACCCAAACACCCCTGTAGCTCTGTGGGATAAAGAGTTAATAAGAAAATTTGCTGTGCCGTGGCCCCTTAGCTTTGAGCAAGTCCAGCCCAACCCTTCATTTCTAAACTAACAACCTTGAATTATGCTAATCCTGTCAGCGCCGTCTTGACTTCCCGTATATAAGCCAGGGCAAACTCGATCATGTGGAACTTGCTCACCAACCTGAAAACCTATGAAGGCCAGAAATCCCCTTAATTGTCTAGAACTGAAGCCCTACTTCAAGTCCCACCTCCACTGCTATGATGCTCCATCTTTTCTAATGTTTTCCCACATTAGGGTCCAATTATTGTGGCCCATTAAGCTCTTTCTCTCTCTCTTCATAAAGTTCAAGTGAAGGGTAATTTCATGTCGGTTCTCTTCTATGAACTTTCTTTTCTTTTCTTTTTTTTTTTTTCCTTGACAAAATCTCATCACCCAGAACGAAAAAACACAATGGCCACAATGGTAGAATTGAGCCCCACGGGTGAGCAGAATGACTATGTCCTGGGCAAGCCAGCAGACAAGAAGACCCCTCCCCAAAGAGGTAAACTGCGCAGCTGCTTGCTCGGTGACTTTCTGCTGTATTCTTGTCTGTGATGTATTTATATAAAACAATGCACTAATCACTTTTAAATTTCTTGTTCTCTTTGAGACACACTAGCGTTATATGAAGGAAGGAAATACTCTCTTCTAAAAATAGCTTGTCACAGTTACTTTCTCATCTTTATCCATATGAATTTCCTCTTCATAATAAAGCTCGTGGCACACAGTTTCACACTGGCACCTTTAATATTTGCATGGAACACTGCCAACATGATCATGTTGCTTGATTAAAGTAACAAATTATATAAATCTTCAAAATCAAATAATGGAACATTGTTGTAAGCTTAATTCACCAAATACAACTTTTATTGCAGTTTTTTTCTATATGATGTTTACATAACTCTCTACCGTATTTGCTGTATTTAACTTGGTAACATGCTTTTCAATATTGCTTTATAAGATTCACAAAACGTTATTTTTTCAAATGTTATTAATTCTTTAAAGTCAGCATACCAAGGACTGGGTCTCATTACGGCATCCACATGCCATACTTTGTTCATCTTCCTCCTCTCTGGCCTCCCCTGGGCTCCCTACCCACCTCTGTCTCTTTTCCCTTTCTTCCTCCAAGTGGAATACTGAAGCAGACAGTCTAGAGGAAGGGCAGGAACAGAATGTCAACATTTAGGGAACGTTTGAGTCATTCCAACAGGTCCACCTTCCACGTGGTTTACCTGAGAAGGCCTCCTGTGGCTGATGCTTAAGCTCTTTGGCTTTGATGTTTGGTTATTATCTACATGTGAAATGCATGTGCTATTGGCTATCATGCATACTTGGACTATACATGAGAGCTATTATGTCATGTTTTATGGTAAAATAACACAACACTTGGATAATCACATTTGAATTATTTCCTTTGGTTTTGAAGTGAAAATGATAATTTTGAGACAAAATTTGTGACTATCTTGCTTCCAGTGAAACAGAAGCTTTGGTTTTCAGTTTCAATAAGGATGAAGAAAGACAGTAGTGAGTGTTCTGAAGTGCCCTCTGCTGAAGTCCAACTGTGAGAATGCCCTTGGCCAGGTGAATACAGCTTGCTGCAGTCATATGATCTTCTTCTTAGCAAGTTGGTCTGTCTACTGTGCATGGTCCAAACAACCACGCAGTGCCACGCTGCAGGGCTTTACCAAAAGCAGCAGAACTTGGCCTTCAGAGCTTGGGAAACAATCAGCTATCAAGCCTCAGAGGTCCATTTCTGAACAATTCTCACATTTTACTCACCCGTGTTTTCTGCTCTTTGGACAATGGAGCCAGGCTCTGGGAAAGGGGGAGGGAGATTTTCCTGGAGCCATTGCACATAGATTGTTTCAATGCTGGGCTCACTTCATTTTCCACTCTAGGTTCCACTATAGGTTGTGAGCATTTGAGGGTACCAAATTCCTTAATGAGGAAATCTTTCTAGGACTTTAATATTAAACTTGATTTGTTTGTTTGTTTGTTTTTGTTTGTTTAGACAGGTTTTCTCTGTGAAGCCTTGGCTGTCCTGCTTTGTAGAATAAACTGGCCTTGAACTCATAGAGATATGCTTGCCTCTGCCTCTCTGCTTCTCTGCCTCTGTGCCTCTGCCTCTGTCCCTGCTTCTGCTTCTGCCTGCCTCCCCAAGTGCTAGGATGACAGGCATGCACCACGATGTCAGCTGATTCATTTTTTTTATTCATTTTTTTAAACCTTACATTTTAAATAAAAGTTTATCCTCCGTGCCTGAGGGTGAGTAAAATATTTATCTGCCTTAACAGACAACCTCTTCAAACTTTAAACTTTATTTGTATGCATTAGGCATGATATATTATACATATTATATTTGTGATATGTAAGATAAACATACATAGTATATCTCTAGTTATACATACTGTATGTGTACATAGGCATGTAACTTACATTTAATGTATTATGTAATTATATATTTATCTTTTAATGCAAATTTTACATTTACTTCCTGTAAATCACTTTGGAATGGGACAGACAAAATTACAGAAAAGACAAAATGCTCCCAATGGAAACCAGGCTCTGTAAATCGGTATTATCAAATGTTCCTTGACTCAGTTCCATCATCTGCTGCTTTTGAATCTTCTTTTCCCAACTCCAACAGAAACAGAAGGGCCATTTCAGAAGGCCATCAGGTGAACAGAAGGGTCATCAGGTGATGGTCAGTAGTGATGCTCTGTATCTCTCTCTCTCTTTCTCTCTCTCTCTCTCTCTCTTTTTAGATAAGGTTATATTTAGGTGGTCTCAAACAGCAGCCAATGATGACCGAACTTCTGATCCTCCTGCCTCTACACCTGAAGTGCTGAGATTACAGGCTTATACCACCAAGCCAAGATTTCTATTATAGCTTGTGAAAAACTAGTGCTTGCTCAATAAGACAAGCCATGATGTCTTGTTTCCAGTTCCAGGTTTATGTTCCGTGCGCTATGGAATAGCCTTCATCACACATTTCTGCAACTTCACATTGTTGGCACAGAATGCCATCATAAGCATCACCATGGTAGCCATGGTCAACAGCACAGACCATGCACCCCACCTCAACGGCTCCTCCGAAGAGCTTCCTGCTGGTTTAAATGGCGCCAAACATGAAGAAGCCTCAAAGCATCTTTCTGTAAAGGTAGGCAATGCAGACTTTGAATTTGTGTTTCCATTTGTGTGTGTGTGTGTGTGTGTGTGTGTGTGTGTGTGTGTGATTTTGTGTACTTGTATTTGAAAGCCAGAGGTCAGATTTGGGTGTCATACCTCAGGAGTCATCCACTTTTTTTTTTTTTTTTTAATGAAACAGGATCTCTCACTAAGACCTGAGACTTGAGTGTTAGGCTGTGCTAACGACCAGGGGGTCCCAGGGATTTTCCTGTTTCTGCCTCCCCAGTCCCCAGTGATTGTATTACAAGCCACAATGCTGAGTTTTGAATGAAGGGATTTAAAAGAGCTCTTAATACTTGCATATCAAGCACTTTGCCAACTGAGCTGCCTCTCCAGCCTTGCACTCAATTTTTTCCTGTTTGTTTTTCTATTTATTTTCTAGAGTTTATATGTTCAAACCCTTTTTTACAGTTCTGAGAAGAGAAGCCAGGCCTTACACACTCTAGACCGGTTGCTCTATAACTGAGCTACCTTCCAGCTTTCTCCCCTTTCTCTTACATTCATTCTGTTTTCAGAAAGGGTCTCATTACATTGCCCAGACAGGCCTGGAGCTCATTTTGCAGCCCAGGCCAGCCTTGAACTTGTGCTTCTCCTGCCTCATGAATAGCTAGCTGGTATTATAGGTCTATGCAACCAGGCCCAGCTGTGTTCAAAATTTTAAAGTGAGAAAAATGTGAATCTAAGGAGGCTCCTTAGAGTAGGTAAACGCCGTCCAGTGAGTGTGTGGCTCACAAAGGCATTTTTGTGCTTCCCAAAGGCCCCTGTGTATAACTGGAGTCCTCAAACCCAAGGAATCATCTTCAGCTCTGTCCAGTATGGCATGGTGCTAATGCAGGGTCCTGGAGGATACTTGGCTGGGAAAATCGGAACGAAGAAACTGGTGGGAATTGCACTGATCGGGTCTTCACTGCTCACTCTCTGCATCCCACTGGCTGCCAATCTTGGACTAGCTTATCTCCTGGCCACACGGGCAATCCAGGGCTTAACCCAGGTACAAAACATTTCAATGATTTCCTTCTCTTCCTTCCTTCCTTCCTTCCTTCCTTCCTTCCTTCCTTCCTTCCTTCCTTCCTTCCTTCCTTCTAATGTATTTACTTTTATTTTATGTGCATTGGTGTTTTGCCTGTATGTATGTCTATGTGAGTGTGTCAGATCTTTAAGTTGCAGACAGTTGTGAGCTGCTGTGTGGATGCTGAAATATGAACCTGGGTTCTCTGGAAAGCAGTCAGTACCCTGAACCACCGAGCCGTCCCTCCAGCACTCTTTTATTTTCTATCTGTCTGTCTATCTATCTATCTGTCTATCTATCTATCTGTCTATCTATCTATCTATCCATCCATCTATCTTTTTAATGTAGACCAGGCTAGCCTCGAACTCACAGACATCCACTACCTTCCTCTGCCTCCCGAGTATTGGGATTAAAGATGCGTGTCACCACACCCAGCCCCAGATACTGAGTATTTTCAAACTCTGAGCTGGATATGAATGTCTACAAGGCACCATAGCGATATCTTTAACCATTTTTATTTCAGGGCACCGGGTATGGAGGTCAGTTGGCACTCTGGCAGAGATGGGCTCCTCCGAATGAACGCGGCCGACTCTGCAGCATTGCATTATCAGGTAGAGACGTGCAGTCCACGCGTCTATCATAGTGCAGTCCAGGTAGTGTGTTGGCTGCCTGGAAACCCACTGCCTCCCACTGGACTCCTCAACAATTTGTCTGTTGTACAGCTCTTCCTTGCTTGACGGTAATGAAGTGTTGCTACAAATGAAGGTGAAGGAAACCAATCCTTCATTTGTGACATGACTTATTTTTTTCCCCGTGTTGTGATTTCTGGCGTAACATTGCTTATGATATGATTTCTCGCATTTGAAAATATTTTTTATGTTGCTAAATTAATAAGTTTTCTTTTATAGAACTTGAATTTACACTCACTGATGGAAAGGCTGTAAAAGCAATTATCCATGTTTTATAATGAAATTGTACAGTTTCATTTGTATATATTAATTCATAACAGTCACATGAACCTTATATTTGCATTCGGTGTGACATATGGTTCAACTTAATAATCTTAGGAATTGTGCTAAGTTGTCCAGAGAGCATTTACTTTTGAAAGTTTTTATTACATTAATGTATTTACTGTGTATGCATGTCATAGCGCACATGTGGAGGTCAAAGGACAACTTTCAAGAATCGATTTTCACTTTTGACTATGTGGGTTCTGGGAATCAAACTCATGTCATCAAGCTTAGCAGCAAACACCTTTACTCACTGAGCCATCTTGCCAGTTTCTGAGAACTTGTTTCTGAAAATTGCTCTGTCAGCGAAGTATGCCCATAATGTTCTGGAGGTGGAACCCTAAATTACAGTAGGAGAAGTAGAGAACAGATGGTACAAGTTAACAATGGTTACTGTTAAGGCTAGCACTAGGTAGGAAAAGGGTAATGCTGTGGGTAATATGTGTGTTCAAAGATAGTCAAGAACTCTTCAGGTCCAAAAGCACCAGCTATCCATATACTTTAGAGAGGCTGATTAACAGCCGGGCTTGCTAAAGCCCCCTCAGAAACCCAGGACAGTAGTATCCAGAGGGTGTCATGAGAGTTTACATTCGCTGACAGAAAAGGAGCATCCAGGAAATTCACCTCAGTTACCCAACTGTGAAATGATCCTAGAACACAAGAGAAACCCAGTCAACAGGGGATAAACTTCATGAATGAAATCCAACACCCAGAAGGCTGAGATAGGAGGATTGCCACAAAGACCAGCCTGGGCTATGCAGCAAGTTGCAAACCCTGGTCTCACAAAAACAAACATAAAACAAGATTTTGTGTTGGACTGTATTGTAGCTCTCCTAGGGTGTAGGTTGTCTGGGAGTCATAGATTGGACATGCTGCTAGGGGCTGTGAAAGGTACATATAGGCAGGGAATTTGCAGCTACTCACCGAACTTTGGAACTCAGCAGCTCAAACGGGACTTGTAGGTCATGCTTAAGGCTAATGGTAAATATAGCAGGAGTCTTTTTTGCACAGACATTGATAAGTACTGTCCACTGGCTCCTCCCTCCCCCCACCCTTTAAAAAAAGACAGCCTAGCCAGACATCCTGTGGTGCTGCCCATTCTGCCCCACGTATTCGAGGAACAAAACACAGCAATTATCAGGGACTTTAGCTGACCTGCTCTCCTGTTCCCGGTGTCCTTCCCATAGGTGATGGGATGGAGACAATGTCTTGTTAGCTTAGCCCAGAGCTCAGAAGACAGACAGGCTCTCAAACCAAACTGGGTACAATCCTTGCACAATTTTGTGAGTTAATTTAAAACACAAAGTGTGTGCATGTGTGTGTGAGAGAGAGAAAGAGGGACAGACAGACAGACAGACAGACAGAGACAGAGAGAGCAGGGAATGGCATGGAAGATTGAAAGCACACACATGGCTGGACCACATATGCTCAGAAGCCTAAATGTTCTTTCTCTATCTTTCTTCTGCCTCAGCCTTTTCAGCAAGGGTGTGGAGGATGTGGTCATGAAAAACAGAGGTAGGGTTCAAGCAAAACTGTCCCTAGAGGAAAGGTATCCTGGACCAAAGATACTTTCTAGCTCTATGGGAAGGACACAGGGAGGAGTAGAGCAGGCCAAATAAATATCTTGATTAATGATGTGTTCTGGTTCTTGAGTAACCTAGAACAGAATGGACAGCACTATAGGATGGCCCAGGCCTTTGCGTGCACTGAATCAGTTGTGCTGTGCTGATAAGCAGTGTCTTTAAGAGGGGCATGCTCAACAAACTCCTGAGATATCTTAAGACTCATAGTCTTAAGATACAGAATGAGGAAGAGATGGGTACAGTCGAATGTCATAGACCCCAGCATTCCAAGGACTGGTGCCTCCTATGCCTCTTGAACATTCAGGTCATAGCCCATTGGGAGTTTTCCCTCAAAGACAGACAGAGAAACCCCAGAAAGAACAGAGGGGCTTCTAAACAGGCTAATATTTGTCTTGTTTTTACTTCCTTTTATTTTCTAGGATATTGAAAAATATTGTAACTTTTAAATCTGTTTTTTTATATTTTTTATTTTTTATTATTAGTTACATTTTATTAACTGTATCCCAGCTGTGTCCCGCTTCCTCATTCCCTCCCACACCCTCCCTCCCTCCCTCATCTCCTCCCTGCCCCTTTCCCACTGATTGGGGAAAACCTCCACCCCTTTCATCTGACCCTGTTTTATCAGGTATCTTCAGGACTGGCTGCAAAGTCCTCCCCTGTGGCCTAGCAGGACTGCTCCTCCCTTGGGGGGTGGGGAGGTCAAAGAGCCAGCCATTGAGTTCCTGTCAGAAATAGTCGCTGTTCCCCTTGCTGTGGGAAACCAATTGATTACTGAGCTACCACGGGCTTCATCCGAGCAGAGGTTCTAGGTTATATCCATACATGGTCCTTGGTGGAGTGTTAGTCTCAGAAAAGACCCTTGTGCCCAGATATATTTGGTCCTTGTGGAGCTCCTATCCTTTCCACGTCATACTAACTCCCCCTTCTTTCATGTGATTCCCTGCACTCTGCCGAAGGTTTGGTTATGAGTCTTAGTATCTGCTTTGATACACTGCTAGGTAGAGTCTTTCAGGGGCCTTCTGCGGTAGGCTCCTGTCCTGTTACTTGTTTTCTCCTACGTCCAATGCACCTCCCATTTGTCTTTCTAAGTGAGGATTGATCATCTAACACAGGTCCTCTTTCTTGTTTATCTTCTTTAGGTGTATAGATTTCATTATGTTTTTTTAATTGACACGAAAATCAAAAATATTAATGGCATGGTGCCATGAGATATTTCATGTGAATGGTTACTGATGTTGATACAGGTATATCCATCTCCTCTAACATTGACCATTTCTCTGTAGTGAAATTATTAAAAATTCTCCCATTTAGCTTTCCTGAGTGTAGTGCACTATCGTTGTTTACACTCTGCCTGCTACTATGCAACAGAACACCAAACTGTGCTTTCATTGCCCACATGGATCCTATGCTACTGGTAATGCATGTAGATGGAAAGAGTCAAGAGGAGAGAAGCAAGTGAGGGTGAAAAAGTGAGAAATTACGCTTAGGAGTCCAGGCTTGATGTAGATTGAGAGGGGGGGGAAGGCAAGAGGACAGGAAAGACATGACCTTGATCAGACAGAGGAGTCTATCTCACATTACAACCAAGATAAAGGCAGACATTTAGGGAAAGATTCCGCTGGGGTGGGCCTGGTAGGAAAGGTACTCACTTCTAGATTTCTTTACCTGTACCCTGGAGCTTGGAATTTCCTTTCAAATACTCTCTTCCCTGATACTGAAAGGCTAACCTGGGATAGTTTACTTAACTGTGGCTGGCTGTACTTGATCAAATGAAAAGCTTTATTGCTATTGTTTAAATAGAGTAAGGACCGTCAAGATGGTTCAATACACATAAATAATTAAAAAAAAGAAGATATGAACAATTGTTTTTACATTGCAGTGTAGGTTAAAAAGAAATCAAAGCAAAAGAGTAAATCTAGAGGCCATAGACGTGATTCCACAAATATCTGTAACTGCTGGCTGTGAAATACAGTGGAAACAAACATGAGGAGGAAAGACCCAGCACCAGCAAGCCTCACAGGGGTTATTCACCATCACAGAGTCTGTGGCTTGAGATGCAGGAAAACAGGAAAGAAACTGAAAAAAGGCAAGAAACAATAAAGCTGGTAAACAGGAAAATAACTCAACTTTACTATAAAGAACACAATTTGCAGTGAGGATTTTTTTATTATTATTATTTACATTGGAATAAAAGTGCTTAAATTTTTTGAGGATATTAGATGTTATCAAGGAGATGGGAAAGAAAGAACTTTGTTGGCAACTTAAGCTGATACAGCTTTCAACAAAGAACTTTTGCAGTATTTACCAAAATTTAGAATATACTTAGCCTTTGATCTAGCAAGTCCACCTCTGATGCTCTACCTACAAAAACAAATTGTGTCTATATTCAGAAATGAGAAACTGTGCCTGTTTAGAGCTAGGATCTACAGTGCAATGGAGATCTTCGTATGGACAACTGCTCAGTGAAGATGAATGTTGGGGCTGGAGAGACGGTTCCATGGCTAAGAGCAAGTACCGCCTTTGCAGAGACCCCAAGTTCGGTTCCCAGCACTCACACCTACAACAGCGGCTCCGGGGATCTGACATCCTCTTCTGCCTCCACCAGCACTTACTCGTGTGCACAGTCTGCCTCACCCACACGCTGCACACACATATGCAACGTCATTTAAAAACAAAAATAAAATATAAGGGAAAAAAAATGACTGTGACGTGGAGCCCCTGAGCCGTTATTTAAAATAACAACTCCACACACATACGGAATTTGACAAGTTGACGAAACATAAAAAGTGAGATAGCTTAGAAATATTTGAAAATCTGTGAATATGCCTACCATATCTTAGAATGCTCTACCCTATGTTAGAATATGAGGTTATAAAAATTAAAGCAGCATCGTTAACACACTTATGGAGAAAACAGCTTCCTGTGAATACATTTACAAAGAGAATGAATGCATGTATAGCTAAAAATAGCATATGCATGCACAGAATAAAAGTGGGCAACTGTTTTCTGTACCAGAAATTGAGGTGATATTTGTCTTCAGAGGGATGAGAGCATAGAACTGGAGGGTGTACAAAAACCTTGGCTCTTAATAGTGTTTTATTTCCATAATAAATGCATATAGTTGTAAATTAAGGCAGAGTGAAAGGTAGTGTGTCAGTCATCTGCAATGTCATTTGGGAATTTTGAGGGGAAAAAAAGACTCTCAGGAGGCAAATGAATTAAATGATCAGTCTGAAGAGTTTATGTTTGCATATGCTTATTCTGTGGTTGGTGGCACTTTTCCGTGTTTATCTGCCAGCCTACAATATTTGTCTGATGTAAGACAAGGGTCCCACCGCCTTCTCTCTGTCTCTCTGCAGGAATGATCTTGGGAATCTTTACTGTCCTCCTTGTGGGCGGCATCATTAGTAACTCCCTCGGGTGGCCCTTTGTCTTCTATATCTTTGGTAAGGTGCTTGTTAGTCTCTGAGATACTCGGGCATGTTCTTCCAAGGCTGTGCATCTGAATGTACTTTTCTAAAGGAGGAGAGTCAAAATATAAAAACCTTAGGGAAACGAAATATCAAAATATAAGGAAATAACCTTGGCTAGCCAAGATGTGGAAGTCCTCCGGCTGCATGTAAAGTTCTGCTCTCCTGCTGTAAGGCTCAGTCATCACTGTGTCACTGCGCCTTGCAGGCAGGAGGGGTAGGTCTGCCGAGCAGTGCTTTCTAAGAGACAGAAGAAAGCAATCCAGGGAGGTAATGCAGCTATGCAGTTAGTCTTTGGCCTAATCTTCAAAAGGCCTGGCTAAGATAACAAAAGTACACACTAGTTCAAGGAGAAAATATCTACAAACAATTAAGTGTTTTTCTAAAATGTGTAAAGAATTTTCAAAACTCGATGAGAATATAAAGCTCTCAACTGAAAAATGGGCAGAAACATTTCATCAAATACACACAGAAAGAGCCCAAGTCTATGGCCAGACACCTAACTAAAGTCATGGGAAGGGGACACAAACATCAAAATTACAAGGAGATTCTTCACATACCTACTGAAATGTACAGTATTAAAATTATTGACAGTAAGTGTTATGCTGTCCCTAGGGCCTGTGACCCCTTCCCACACACAAATAAACAAGAATTGTTGAGACAGCTTTTCTGAGAACTGGGAAGGGTTCGTAATGAACTTTGGCAATGGCTTGTCCTAGAAAATGTGTCAGCATGAGAACAAGCCATTTGATATACCCAAAGGACTCTAAGGTAGCCCAGCACAGAGATCCTTACACGGCTGTATTTATTGCTGCACTATTTACAGTATTCCAGGAATGGAACCAGTCTAGATGTCCAACAAGAGAGAGCAGACATAGGAAACATGGTACAGATACACAATAGCCAGAAAAAAAAATGAAATTATGTCATTCTCTGGAAAATGGATAGAATTAGCTATCCTCATATTAAGAGAAATAAGTTAGATGCAGAAAAACAATGTTTTCTTTTATTTCTGGAAACTAAAGTTCTTTTTAAACACACATGCATATAAACATGGGTTATAGTATACATACATATACAAACATACATGGGTCATAATGTACATATGCATGCATGGGCCACAACATCCATACACATACATGCACACACATTGGTCATAAACATACATATACATGGGTCATAACATATATATACATACATAAAAGCAGACAGACAGCTGGGGATGGAGCCGGTAGAGGAAAAGGTACAGGAATGATTAGGGAGGGGATGGTAGAAAGCTGACATGATCCAAACATTTGATACATTGAAAAGAAATTATTAAAAACCAACATTATGCACAATGACTATCACACCAATTAAAGAAGAAAACTGTGAAATCCATACAAATTTAGGATTTAGTGATAGCAAATCAAGAAGTGCTGACAAATGTACAGTGATACCATCATGGAGGAAGCAAGACAGGAGGTGTGAGGCAATTCCGGGCTGTCTTTGCAACATTTAAACAAACCTAACATTCCATAGTTTAAAGTTCACTTAAAAAAAAAAAAAGAGAGATGAAATGAGCTCCCTGATGAACCTCTCCCCTCTGCTTGCAGGAGGTATTGGTGTTGTCTGCTGGATTCTCTGGCTCATTCTGGTTTATGATGATCCTGTCTCTCACCCATGGATAAGCGACCCAGAAAAGGAATACATCTTATCCTCCCTGGACCATCAGGTTCACATAGGGACTCCTCTCACATCCACATCTGGGGTCCTAAGGTTGGGGGAGACAGACTCTGAACCTCATGATGATCTTACTGCTCTGACCAGCGCCTCTGTTTTTAGTTCCGCTCAGAAGAGCAGCCACTTCCCATCAAAGCCATGCTTAGATCTCTGCCCCTCTGGTCCATGAGTCTTTGCTCTCTGACCCATCAGTGGCTTGTTAACACCTTTGTGATATACACCCCAACATACATCAGCTCTGTGTTCCAAGTTAACATCAGAGACGTGAGTAAATTTCACTCCATTCCTTCCCCATGTTTGCATGACTCCCTTCGTCACTCAGCTGTCATAAAGCATTCCGTCTGCAGGACGTTAACTGTCATTACCCCCAGATAGTCTGGTTTGTAAATAGAACAGGTGACAGTAACTTTGCTGGGGTTATGACTTAAGAGGTTGCCAGGCTTTCCAGGAAAGAGGGGTCTCAGAGTGTTGGAAGGATTAGAGAATTACCACCGTGTTTTCTCACTGTTTTAATTATGGCCATTCACTTCAGAATGGGTTCCTGTCTTCTCTTCCCTTTTTGGTTGCCTGGACCATTGGCATCCTGGGAGGCCAGCTGGCAGATTTTCTACTGAGCAAGAATTTTAGCGTCGTAACTGTGAGGAAAACTGTCACAACTTTAGGTAAGGTAGGGATATGGGATTTTAACAACATAAGTATTCAACAATCAAAGAATACATCTCACTTTTGAATTTGTCTGTTCCACATTACCTAGGAACTATTCCCCCTGCAACTCTCGTTGTGGCTCTGCCCTATGTCCGATCCAGCTTTATCACAACAGTTACATTTCTGACCCTTGCCTGTGGAATATGCCCTCTGAGTCAGCCAGGAGTCTATATTAATGCATTAGATATTGCTCCAAGGTAGGACTCTTATTTCTACTCTTAGTTTCACATTTTCTGAGGAAAAACGGTCTGTAGTGTTCCAGGAACCCCAAAATTTGTAAATTTTATGGACCATGGATGGGTTTAGGGTGTTGGTAGAGAAGTATAGACTTGTCAAATCTCCTCCCACTGAATATGCACAGCCCAAGCCTTTTTTATATGACTACATGGTGGATTCGCACATAAAGCAGAGCTGAATGACGCTCTGAATGTCAGGTATGTCTGGATTTAGCTTGGTGTATTTCTGTCACTCACAGGTATGCCAGCTTTCTCATGGGAACATCAAGAGGATTTGCACATTCATCTGCTGTGCTGGTACCCATTGTTGGTGGCTTTTTCCTTAATCAGGTAGCAGACTTGAAATACTCTTTGCCACATGCATTTGCAAAAGTGATAGCCAAAGAGTGTATTCTTTTTTAGTTTATTTATTGTTTTATTAATTACAGTTTATTAATTTTGTATCGCAGCTATAGCCCCCTTCCTCGTCCCCTCTCAATCCCACCCTAACTTCCTCTTCTTCTCCTATTCCCCTCCTCAAGTCCAATGATAGGGGAGGTCTTCCTCCCCTTCCATCTGACCCTAGCCTATCAGGTCTCATCAGGACTGGCTTCATTGTTTTTCTCTGTGGCCTGGTAAGGCTGCATCCCTCTCAGGGGGAGGTGATCAAAGAGCAGGCCACTGAGTTCATGTCAGAGACAGTCCCTGTTACCATTACTAGGGAACCCACTTGGAGACTGAGCTGCCATGGGCTACATCTGAACAGGGGTTCTAGGTTATCTCCATGAATGGTCCTTGGTTGGAGTATCAGTCTCAGAAAAGACCCCTGAGCCCAGATTTTTTTTCCCTCCTTGTGGAGCTCATGTCCCCTCCAGATCTTTCTATCTCTCCCTTCTTTCATAAGATTCCCTGCACTCTGCCCACAGTTTGGCTATAAGTCTTAGCCACTGCTTTGATACCCTGCAGGGTAGAGTTAAAGAGTATATTTAAAGGTGGGAAAGAGTGTTAAACTTGGGGTGAGCACAAAGTATAGAGCAGAGTGAACCACAGTTGAGGCCATTCTGGAGTCAAAGAACTATTCACAGATCCATCATAATCCGCATTTGAGATGGGCAAACAAACAGCTCCATAGAAGTCTCAGGAGAATGTTTCCACACTGCCCTGACAAGACATCTGAGGCTGAATGTTCATTTGTGTAAGTAACCACACACAAGGAAAAGAGAGGAGAGAGAGCAAGAACGGTTAAGTGCCTGATGCACGCTGGCATTATGACGAACATATCATACACCACAATCTTGCTTAGCTTTTCATTCTCACGTTAGTTTGAAAAGTAATACTATCACCCTCATCTCCTAATGCTTAAAACGGGAACGTGGTTGAATGAGCCTTCCTGCTCAGAGAAGACAGCTCTGAAACCTGGTGTCTGTTCACTACATTTTGGTACTGATGGGAGAATCTTAGCCCCAGTTTTAGCATAGCAGTTGTAGGCAAGGGGGGTAAAAGGGAATGGGCGTGACACTTTGTTAATAATGGCAAACATGGCTCTACAGGCCAGTCATTACGGTCTTCAAATCTCTTATGGAGAGCACTTTTAGCCTATTTTGGAATTCTTTTTTTCTAATTATCAAGACACTTCTAGGAAATGAATTTCAACATGGAAAGTGTCAAGTTTCAACTTGGAAACTGTCGTCTGAATTGGTAATTCATCTTCATAGAAAAAGAGATGAGAGAAGTAAAACGTATTTTGGATTTTGTATTCCCAGGACTCTGAGTTCGGGTGGAGGAATTTCTTTTTCTTATCATTTGCGATTAGCCTATTTGGTTTGATCCTGTTCCTCGTGTTTGGGAAGGCAGATGTCCAAGAATGGGCTAAAGAGAGGAAGGTCACTCGCTTGTGAAGGTAACAGACCATGATTTCAGTTTAGTTACAGTCACAGAAACAGGACTTCAATTTGTTAATTTTCTATCCTTTTCCTTCCTCAGATGTCCCATTTTCAGTAAAGAAGTCATTTCACACGCTGTTTCCTATGTGGGAAGAAGTCCATAAACATGGCATCAGATCCCCTCATCATTCAGACTTCTTCTTTTTTTTTGAGAAAAATATAAGATGAATAAAACATCAAGTAAAATGTCAGCAAGAGACTGGGTTGTCATCTTTTAGTTGAGAATGTGGGTGCCGGCATGGTAATGTCACAGTTTTTAAATACAAGAACCAACATTTTTGAACCCTTGGGCAAGATCGGTAATCTTACTAAAGCAATTATTTATTTTCTACTTGCTATTGATTTCATTTTTTATGTATGTGGTGCTGGAAGTAGGGCTTATACTCCTAGCCTGTAGTTTTTATTTCCTGGAACATATTATCACGTTCCGTTCTTCATTCAGGTGACTGGAGGGTGGGTGGCATGGCCTGCACCCACACCCCCTTGTCCACCGGCTCCAGCCAGATTCTTAATGGAGAAAGGAAAACATATTCTCCAGAACTCAGCACAGTCATTGCAATCCTTAGCCCTAGCAGGCAACCCTCTTCATGTGTTCTGGTAACTTCCTCCCTCTGCCCATTTGCTTTTCTTTGTCTTTCTTTGTGCCAGCTCTGATGCTCTTAGAACCTGTTGTGATTTTCTTGCCCTCTGGCTGATCCTGTGCAAACAATCTCTTTTTGCCCTGTCCTAACATTGCCCACTGTGGCTGTCATCTTTCTTCTGTGGTCCCACAGAGGCGGTGTAATAAATTCTGATTATGGATCAGGGCAAGATTAGAAAGGCAAAGCACGAACAAATCCAGCAGTGGCTGTGATTTTGATATGAGTTCTAATCTGTCTGTTGGGGCACTGACATGTGTCAAATATAGTTTTCCTTCAATTGTGCCTGGTAAACCCTGTCTTAGGTAGAGTAGCAGAGGGACATACATGGGACACAGACAAAGGTCTTCAATTCCATGCTGAAAAACACAGGGAAGGCTCCTTCCCTCAAGCAATTCCCGGGCTAGATGACAGATGGAGAGGCCAACTTTTACAAAAGCATAAAAACATAAATGCCTTCTGACGGGAGTTCGCCTGCATGCAATTAGAGGAACGTGTGTGGCTAAAGTATGCAGTGCTCACATGTCATGGAAGAGAGTTTGAGTAGATTTTATAAGCAGTAAAGTGGGGATCGTAGCAATGGTTACACAGACAGATCTTTTTAGAGCATTCTTCTACAATTTCAGATTTAGGATGACTAGTAAAATGATCATCTGTATACTGGTCTTTTCAGCAATTTTCAGGACTGGAATAAGGCAGGGAAAGCTGAAATAAAGAGATAAGGATGAAAAATGTTTGCCTGGAAGGATCTGGGGATTCTCCCATTTAATTGGATGATGATGAGAGTCCTTTCCTGTGAAACCAAGTAAAATACTAAGTAGAAAATGCAGACAGATGAGCTCTGCTCAGGGGAAGGGTAACAAGTTGGCTGGGATGGGCTGGGTTAGCAGCGATGGTGGGATGATCATGTATCCATGAATCCGTTTTTTGTCTTGACAAACTGCCACCAACCAGGCAACTTTAACAACAGTAACTATTGTCTCTATGCCCCCAGAGAGGCTGATGCAAATCTGAAACATTAGAGAGAGGAGGAAACATTGGCCTCATGCACCCGAATTTACCTAGAAGCAGAAAAGAGGAAAATAAAAAAGAGATGAACTCTACAGTGACCATATTGAAATAATGTCCTTGATACCGTCATGTGTTATTGTAGACACAGATTCACAGATAAATTTGTTAACATACAAATTGCTCCCAGTAGACTGATATACATGAGGGAACACCGACTGAGTTCTCATCTAGACCTATAGTCTGGAAGTTTCCATTTAGTTCTGTTCACCCCCACTGTCAGAACCGCACTAACCCATCATGCTGTTACCTTACACAAATGGCAACCAAGCAACTTGCTATCAGGGCAATCTCACTCTTCATTCAGAAAAAAACAAACCAACAAACAAATACATCCAGCTTCTTACCACACTAATTTTCATCCCTTTCCTTCACTGACAAGTTCTATAGTTGCATCTCTATTCAGGTGCAACTGAATACTCAAAAAGCTAAAGAAAACAAAGGAAAAGATACTATGCGTTTAAAATTTCAGAGGCAACCAAAATCAATGGAGTTTTGTTTCTTAGATGGGTTTACTTTATTATTGGTCACAAACTTGGAGCCTTCTCATCAACTCTAAAAGATTCTACTAATGAGGCACTATACAATGTGGGCTACTGTATAAGAACTTTGCCAATCTGTAGTGGCAGAAATACACAGACATTTTTATTGTTTATGGCTCGCCGTGAGTGTTTTTGTATTTAATCTGTTGGCCTAGCAGCAGATAATGATGTAAGCTGCTGCAGCTGAGTTGCTAAAAGCAGGTTGGCTCCTAAATCACAACATTCCTCCCTTTTGTTTATTATAAAAGGTGAGTGGGTAGGAAGGAGTGATGGTGAGGCAGGAACGAGGGTGCTGTTCGCTTTGAGCTGCTTCCTGCCGCTTGGAGGCAACGATATCTTTGGGGAGCCGAGAATATTGGGATGCTGTCTAAGTCCTGGGAAAGCTTACAGTTTCACTCACTGTCCAGGCTCTCTGGGATCATCTGGAGCTAGGAAAGCGCTGGCCTAGTTGAAGCAGTCTGTGAGGCTGGACCAGCTGGGGCTAGCTACTTTGAAGCTGTGAAGGATGCAGACTTGGAGGGGACACCTGGACCTGGCAAGATGCTGGAACAGTTTCCCTGGGCAGTATGGTCTGGCACTTACAATAAAAGTCCTTGATCTTTTTCAAGCATTGCTGTTAGAGCAGATTAATGATTCAGCCATTACCCTTAGAAAGAACTTAGAGATGTACATTGTTAGCAGTGACCGCCACCCTTAGAAAGAATTTGGAAAAATAGATTGTTTAGCAAGTTTAGGTTACAATGGTAGTCCCCCCCCCCCCAGTGGCTCTGATGTAGAAAATCTTGAGGAACAATTTGAAGTTCATAAAGGCATACTCTTGATAGTTGACTAGGGACTTTCTAAGGTTAGAGAGCAAGAACAATAACCCAAATTAGCACTAGCCGACGTGACTCTCAAGCTGACACTGGGCGAAATCAAGATGATGATTAATTTCTTGTACCCATTTTTGCCCTCAGCTTCCTGATATGATTTAATAAAAATTGTTAATGAGTAGATGTTCACCTTGAGTATTTAAAGTAGAAATGGGTGATTGTTTTCATATAAAAGTTTAGATTTGTGATTCTTTTTAGATTTTTGTAAGATTACTTTTTAAGATAATTGATTCTTTGTAACTGCAAATTGCAGCCTGACAGTAAAGAGAAACTGGCTGAGAAAATGACTTTGCTTGCTTGCATTTTGTTAATCTGTAACAGGTTGCTTAGTTACAAATGTGTGTGGGTTCTTGGGGATAATTTGTTTTCTTCACCTGTAATATGTAAGATGTTTTTATGTAAAGGTATTGGGGAAACATTGTTTTTTTTCTCATGGTAATTTACTAAAAGAAAAATGTAGTCATATTGTAACTTTCATACTGCTTGAATGATTTTGCTGGGATATATAAGCTGGAGGAGAGAAAATAAAGTTGTTGAAGCTTGTTGGAACTTGTTCATTGGTGCTTGTCTTGCTTCACCTATCGTGTGTGTGTGTGTGTGTGTGTGTGTGTGTGTATGATTCTTTTTCCCTTCTTTCTTTTCTTCGACAGCCAGGAAGCCTCCCACTGGTTTAAAGAGGTTCCAGCCTAGAGAATCAAGCTTTGTACCCTCAGAGAAAAGTCTTCTAGGTGCTCAGTTGATACTACTCCCTGCCTCAGTTTACCCTGTGGTGTCGAAGCTGATCTTCGACATTCTGGCTCCTGGAATAGGGACCTGAAGAAGGTAATCTCTCTCTTTGGTATAGATAAGAGTCTCACTTAGGGTCCTGCAGACACTCGTGCACACACACACACACACACACACACACACACACTCACTCACTCACACGAACACTAGTGAGTACTAGGTTATGACAGGTAAGTAATCTAAGTTGAAGCTCATATGTGTCCCTCAGGATAGGACAAGGTGAATCTAAAAACAGAAGGTTCTTTACTGATGTTACTAAGCATAAACTTAAGAAAAAGGAATTAAGGTTAGCACTGGTCAGCTGACAGATTTTCTTTGGCTCGTACAGACAACCAGCTTCTGGTTTCCAGTTTGGACCGTGTACTCTCAGCAGTTGAGGTGAAGGGTAGTTTTTTGCCCAGTGGCCAGCTTTGCCACATTTAAAGCAAGCAGCATGTGGAGGTTCTTCTGTGCCCATCATGTTCTTTGGAGGAGATTAGGGGTACTGCCAGGAGCTGACTTGTCTCTTTACCACAAAAAGCGTTTTAAATTAAACACTTTTAAGGCCATATTCTACAGAGCTCTGAAGCATTTGAGGACCATCTATCTATTAAGTCTATCTAAGTACACAAAGTTTGCTTGTTTCTAGTTTCTTGCTTTAGGTTTAACTTTGGAAAAATATATAGGAGGCTAAATTAGGCGTATTCCTGTCGTTAATTATATTAGTATTTAGCACATCTTCAAGTATAGTTCTAAACACATTAAAGAATCATTTATAAGGTATCTGATTATTAGCTTGCATTTCTTAATTATTCTTAACAGTCTACAGTCAGTTAGTAGTTTTTATAGGACTAGAACGGTATGTTTCATCCCTGTTAGGTCTGGTCTTAAAATTAACGATCTTGAATTGAAGGTCAGCTTAGCCCCTGGATTTGGCTGCAGCGGGGAGCAGCTGAGTGTTCTCAGTCTGCTGCAGTCGGCCTGCTCCTTTGGTTTTTCTAGTCCCGTCTGGCTCTGACTCCACTTTGCAGCAAACTTACAGGCAGAACATTTATGTAGGATGCGGTGTAAGGAGGGAGACCAGACAGAAACAGAGCTTGGAGTGAGTGAAAAAGTAAGGAAAGGGGATTTTTTTTTTCACATTCCCATCATTTGGGCTTCATATTGAGACTCGATTAAACTGGAAAGGAGTGGTTGGAAGTTCTCTAAAAGACACCCCAAGGGGAGTGAGGACATGGAGAGCACAGTTCCCATGTGGGTGAGGTAGAGAGAGTTCCCAAGCCTGAAGTTCCAAGTGGGTCATCATCTTCCCTAAGCAGGGGCCAGAGGCTAAGAGCCCAAGGAGACACGGTTGCCTGGTATGAAGTCAAAGGGTGAAAAAAATCAAAGTGCTCAAAAATCAAAGCCTCATCCA